GGCCAGCCTGGTCTACAGAGCGAGTTCTAAGAAAGGCACAAAGCTACACAGAGAAAACCTGTCTCGAAAAACCAAAAAAAAAAAAAAAAAAAAAAAAAATCCTTTGTACTCCCAGTGAGAAGAGAGCTCACAAAGTTGCCCATGCATTAGATTTCACATGCTCACATTTACCAAAAGAAGAGGCTTCTCCAAAGGTTGCTAATCACTATAATGCCTTCTGGCTCTTAAAGTAGTTCTCAGATTCCAAGAGAGAAAAATCATAACCATGATAGAAACATAACTGAATCCAGATATGGTGGCAGTACCCTTAATCCTAACTCTCAAGGGCAGAAGCAGGCTGGTCGGTCTGTGAGTCTGAGGGCAGCCTGCTTACACAGTGAGTTCCAGGCCAGTTAGGGATACACAGTGAGACCCCATCCAAAAAGAACAAAAAACAAAAAGCAAGTAGAATGTGCAAATGATAGCTGATGTGACAATCCCTTGGACAATGGCTAAGAAAGAATACTATTTTGGAGCCGGGAACAAAGCATCTCAACCTTTGAATGACCTCCCTGCCTGGGTCTACAAGTTTTTTGAGGAATGCAAAATCTCCCTAGCACCACAGGACCATCCTTCTGAGTCATTTCTGAAAACATTGTACTTGGGCTGTCATGACGACATCACCAGGCAATGCTGTATCACCAAGTACAGTTGTGGTACCTTACAAAGGCCAGTGCATTTGGCTATGTAGCTAGTCCAGGGCATGGGTATACCTGGCCACTAAGAACCACAGAGCTCATATGTGATAGAAAAGATGTGTGTGTGTGTGTGGGGGGTGTTATCAGATGTACTGAAGGTGGGGAGAGAGAGATTACCTGATGTACTGAAGCTGCAAAAAACCTTAATGGTTCATCTAATCTAATCCTCCACACGTAAGGATTAGCACTAAACCACAAGAGCCAATTCAAAACTGCCCCCTCCCCTAGAATTGAGGAAAATGTTATAAACTTCAAGTTTTGAAAAAAAAACAAAAAACAAAGGAGACTCTCAGTGACCAGTGGTCAAACAGACAGAACATACACAGACGAACGCCATCAAACTGTGAAGGACCGAATGCGCGCCGTGTTTTACAGCCCTTAGGGACGCTTCCCAAGCCACAACTCAGCCATCGAAATTAAAGGCATGATTTTTATTTCATTTTATTTTTATTATTTTGTTTTTGTTTTTTTTTTCCAAGACAGTTTCTCTGTGTAGTTTTGTGCCTTTCCTGGAACTCACTCTGTAGACCAGGCTGGCTTTGAACTCACAGAGATCCGCCTGCCTCTGCCTCCCAAGTGCTGGGATTAAAGGCGTGCGCCACCACCGCCTGGCCAAGACATGATTTTTTTTTTTAATGTGATGGTTTTTAAAGATTTATTTTATGTGCACTGGTGTTTTGCCTGTATGTACGTCTGTGTGAAGGTGTCAGATGCTTTAGAACTGGAGTCACAGACAGTTGTGAGCTGTCATGTGGGCACTGGGAATTGAACTCAGGTCCTTTGGAAGAGCAGCCAGTTCTCTTAACCACTGAGCCATCCAGCGGTTGGCTGTCTCCAGCCCCAATGAGGTAATTTTTAATAAACAAATTTAGCAAATTTACTTTCATGTGATTATGCAATCATCACTACAATCTAGCTCATTTCTAAGTCACAAAACCACAACTTCTTTAAACCTATACCCAATAAATTTCTGCTCCATGAAAAACCATCAACATACATTCTGTCTGGATAAATTTGCCTTTTCTGGATATTTCACACAAATGGCATATCATAACATGGGACTAGGCGTTTCCACTTAGCAGAATGCTTCTAAGAGTTATCTGTATTATAGCATATATTACTAGCTCGTTTCTTGTTATGGTTTAATAGTATTCTACCACACACATATGATACCTTGTTTATCCATCCACTAAGAAACCTACATCTCCATTATTTACATGTTTTGGCTTTATTATTAATGCCGCTATACACACCCACGTACGGGATTTTGGTGGGTGTGTGTTTTCATTCCTCTCGAGCGTTTCTTGGGCACAGAGGTGCTGCCTGTCAGTTGGCCTTTTAGGAAGCATCGAGCTGTCTTTTTTTGTTGTTGTTGTTTTTTGAGACAGGGTTTCTCTGTGTAGCTTTTTGCACCTTTCTTGGCACTCGCTTTGGAGACCAGGCTGGCCTCGAACTCACAGAGATCCGCCTGGCTCTGCCTCCCGAGTGCTGTGATTAGAGGTGTGCGCCACCACCGCCCAGCTGAGATGTCTTTCAAAGTGCCTGCATTAATGTCTACCAGCAGCTTATGGGGATTTTGGCCCTGCCTTGCCCTCAAACTCAGCCCGCTTGTATCCTTGATCCAAGGTGTCTCTCTTCTGGACACTATATAGTTGGGTCTTGCCTTTTAAAAACACAATCTGACAACCTATGTCTTTTGAATGGAGTAATTTTTAAAGATTCATTTATTTTTATTATGTGTTTGAGTCTTTTGCCTACAAGTATGTATAAGCACCACATTCACTCCTGGTGCCCACAAAGGCCAGAAGAGGGCGTCGCATCACCTGGAACTGCACTTACAGACAGTTGTGAGCCACCACGAGGATGCTGGGAATCAAACCTGGGTCCTTGAAAGAGCAGCCAGTGCTCCCAACCTTTGAGCCATCTCTCCATCCCTTTTAACGGAATATTTAGTTTATTCACATTTACTATAATTATTGATATTACCACTAGCAACACATCTCTCAGTCTTTACTTACTTGGGAATGTCTTCACCTCTGTCACATTTGATGGGCAGTTGTGCTATATATTAAGTCCCTGGTTGCAAATGTCGTCAGCATGTTGAATATGGCCTCCTCGTGCTGTGTCTGGCCTCCAGATTTTTGTTTTAAGGTTTGTTTGCTATTTTTCATCAATTGCATTAATTTCCTCCATGTGTGCTGAATCCTTTTTTCTTGGTGCTTTTAATATTTTCTCTTTGCCTTTTAACAGTTTGATTATAATTTGTTTAGATAACACTCTGTTTTTGTTTGTTTTTAGGGCTTACTGATTTTAATGTCTTTCATAAAATCTGGGAGTTTCATCCATTATTGATTCAAATATTTTTCTATCCCTGGCTCTTCCTCCTCTAAGACTGCTTTTAGATATATGTTGATATGTATGTCTCACAGCTCTCTGGAGTGCTATTTACATTTTCAGTTAATTTTCTCCTTGTATTAAATGATGCCTTCTTCTCTCTTTTTCTGCTATCTAAAGTCTGTTGAGTCCCTCTAGAGAAATCTCCTTTCAGCTGTATTTTCCATCTGGACTTGCCATTTGGTTATCTCCTAATTCTCTTTGACTGACAGTCTGGATTCTGGAGCCTTTCCTCTGTTCTTTACATAGCGGTAGTTCCATCTCTGAGTGTCCTAAGGAGCTGCTTTGCAGTGTTCTGGGCTAACTCCTACATCTGAAGCCAGATACCCAGAGCCAGCTCCCACTGACTTTTCTTTCCCTTCCCACAGGCCACAGTTTGCTTCTCTAAATGTCTGTAATTTCTGGTTGAACGCTGTGCTTTTTAGATAACATGTGGTAGTGGTTCTGGGTTCTGACTTTTTCCACGTGTCTTATTACTGCAGCTGTTTGTTTTGATTGTTCAGTGATCTTCCTAGGCCACGTGTGAACTCTGTGTCCCATAAAGAGACAGCGCTGATGTCTTTACTAATATTTGTCCTTACTCTTCACGCACGTGAAACCTGGTGTCCTGGCAAGGACCAGTCAGAGGTGGTTGTTCAAATACCAGGGACCAGAAAATCTGGTTTGCCTCTGCTTCTAGGTGTCTGGAAAGGCCACTGGACCTCAGGCAGCTCTCACATCTGCCTTGGGGTTGCACTTTGCTCTGGCTCTTTTGTGTGTGCACCTCTTGTGTCCCCAGACACAGAAGGCATTCAATGTGAGCTACATGGAGGGCTCCCGAGCTCATGATGCTCTTACCTCCAAAATTACTTAGGTCAGCAGCAAAACCACTGTCCACAGCTCACTCCAGTGAGGCCTATAAACTCATGACGGTGGAACTACCGGCTTCTCCTGTTCACTTCTGACCAAAATGGCCACTTGAATGAACAATGCCCCAAACAGAGGGAGCGACTTCTAGAGGCAGCAAAGCTAATTCTCACGGCTCCTCACAGCCTGCCTGGCTTCACCGTCACACTGACAGAGCTGAAGGAGGGAAGGGATGGCACCCGCTAGGAACACTGGACTCACTCTGTTCCTACCAAGAATAAACACTTCTGCTTTCTTGTGTGCTTTCAGTCAATTTTTGGAACATGAAAATGGAGACTCTGGACAATGTTTTCCCAGCTTTTGGCTTGTTTTGGAGACTGTCAACTCCCTCACTCTCTCATGCTTAAGATCTCAGCCAGGCGCCACACTCTACCGAGAACAATTCTGGTAAAGGTAAACCACGTGTGGCGGTGACATCACCACTGTGTGATCTCATTTTCAGAGAAAACAAAGCAACTGAAAACCATAAATGGCTCAAGATGGAAGCTGCAATAATTAACTTCCTTAGACGGGATCCCGCTCCTCAGAAGCAGCACCTAAGCCCCTGTACCTGACTGTACATGAGGGGAAGGAAGGCCCAGAAGAGAGTTCTTCAAAGCATGTTGTTACCATGGTGCTTCCCACTGTTGCCTTTTGGCTCCTGGGCCTTCACAGCCCACCCACCTCTCTCTCTACTGCGTCAGTCAGCCCTGGTCACTCCGATACACAAAAGCTGTTCTTGTAACAACCCTTGTCTCAAAGGCTCACGGGAGTCTGTCTGTCTGGCCATTTGTCAGCTTTCCTCTGTTGCCTTTTAGGGTGCAATGATGTCTTGCTGATAAAACAGGTGAAAGGTCTCAGAAATTATCACCAGGCGCAGGGCATTAAAAATGGTTTCCTAAAGGTCCCACTTTACACAGCCCATGCTGCCAAGGCTTGTCACACAGGCTTCTGAGGCAGACTTTCCCGGCCCCTCTCTCTTACCTTAGCAAAGAAAATCCAGGCTGCACACTGCCCTGGGGCCAGAATGCTTTTCAGCTTTACTGTGCTGAGCATGAGAAAGAATCCTAAAACTCCGCTGAAAGGAGAAAACACCCTTGGGTTAGTGAGGCTGCCTTCCTTCGGCTACAGCTTCAATCCCCCCTCCTCCTCCTCCTCCTCCTCCTCCTCCTCCTCCTCCTCCTCCTCCTCCTCCTCCTCCACCCCTGAGCCAGGCTCTCGGCCACATGCTGGCCTGGAGCTCCCAGCCTCCCGCCCCTTCCTCCGAAGCGGCTGTGATTACAGGTGCACGCCGTCACACTCAGTTTATCAGTCGATGTCTAATTTCTAAGCATCCCACAACCTCCATCATATTTGTGTTTTCTAGTTCCCCTGGATAAAAACATCAGTTTAGAAACCTGAACCTCCACTAAATAGAGATGAGAGTATTTCACTGGCAGTGAGAGAGCTCGGAAACCTGGCTAAGTCATGACAGAAAAATATATAAGTGGGCATTGCTATGGCTTCAATAGTAAGTATTGCTCGAAAAGCTCAGGCACTAAGACTCTGTCATAGATGTAATATTGGGGGAGGGGCTTTGGTTGCATCATGAGGTCTCTGATTTGGGATTAGTCCATTTATGGACTCATCATCTGAAGGCATTATTGAGAGATAATGGATACATCAGGCGGTGGGACCTGGTTAGGAGAAATTCGTCCCTGGGGGTCACTTCTTAGCTCACTTCTCTGCTTCAGGAGGCAAACACCTCTTCTGCTGTACACTGCCACTGTTAAGGAAGTCATATGCATCCCAAATTGCTCACTTAGAGATTAAGAGGGGAAAATCTTTACACACACACACACACACACACACACACACACACACACACACACGGCCGACTGTGGCTACTGCTCAAGGAACAGCCAGTCTCGATTAGAAGATTTACTAAACTTATATGTCTTTAGGTTTATACATTTTACATATGCTGTCCCCAGGTTACACTTTGAACAATTTAAACACAGACAGGAGACTGCAAGTCTGGCCAGTTGGGCAGGTGGGACATTCACACTGCAAAGAGGGCCAGAGGTTTAAGCACACCAGTTGTGGGTTTTCTCAGTGGTTGTTCCCTGGTGTCATCTCGCCCATCTGGCAGAACTCTGCTTTCCCTGATTAGGGCAGGATGTAATGGAAGTTGTGATCCTGCACGTCCCCTGTAAGCCGCCTGTGGGAGGCTGGTCAGTCCTGGTGAACAAACATTTCATCCTAGCACGGTAAACTCTGCCTACCTCTAACAGACCTGGGGAGCTAATACTTATCTTTGGGGTGTTTCGGGGGCAGCACTCCCTTAGCTAAATTCTGCACTGTGTGGTTTAGTGTCTCCTAAGCAAATCCATTAGAAAATCTTCTACCGTCAGTTCTATGAGTCTCTCCTGCATCGCCACCACAGTATCAGTCTCTCTCAGGCCCAATGTGAGGGAACCAGACAACCTTGAGTAGACACCTGAGCCAGGAGTGGAAAAAGATACTTTGATATTTAAATTGTTTCTCATCGACACCTGTCACAGCAACAAAAATCTAAAGGAATCATCAATGAGTCGAGCGGGATGTTCTAGGGTGCATGTCTCTCTTGTAGCTTCCACCCCAGCAGCCAAGACCCAGCACCACAGGTGTGTCCAATCTCCCAAACCTCCTTGTATCCTTGGGTTTTGCCTTCCCTCTCCACCTCCAGCCAAAGGGCATGAGCATAACCTGCTCCCTCAGCAGACTTGACTAGGACGAATGAGTCTGTGCTGTTCAGAGACACGTCCAGCGCTTCCCTGCACTGCCTGGCCTGTTTGTACATCGTTTCTATCCTGTGGCTACCTTATCTCTAGCCTCCTTTCAGCTCTTCTACCCTTGATAGGGGAATATCCCTCTAAAAAACAGAGGGAGGATCCCTGAAGTGAAGGATCCCAGGAGAAAGAGATCTGTTTCAGGGGTCCCTGGGTCATGGCTACCTCCCTCCCCTCAGTAATCCATGATTCCCCTCTGAACTTTTCCAAGACCTCCTGAAGGTAACACTCCTAATCTGAGAAATGGCCATGGAGGAACCATTGAAATGATGTGGAGAAACTGTACATATTTTTAAAAGGTCAGCACTGCAATGAAGTCGGGGGTAAAATGATACAGAGTTAAGACAATTCACGCAAAGATCGACAGCTCTTAAAATAAAAGCCTGATTTAACATGTTGAGTTGGGAGAAAGCTGTCCATTATTTAGGGCCAGAAACAGCCAGAGTTGTGTCCCTGCAGAGCCAAAACCAGTGAGCTGTGAGCACACTGTTCTCTTGTAAATAACCAAACTAGTGTTGACCACACCCCAGAGCCTGCTTGCCCACACTACCAAACAATCATACTTCAAAGGACACCAATTCCAATGCCTGGGCAGCAAGAGTTACATTTATGAAAGCTGCGGGCAGCTGACAGGAGCATTGGGGGTACTTCCCTGAAGCTTTTCTAAGGGTGATAACACCATTCCGAGACTCAAATGGCCTCAATAACCCCAAGGAACATGAACTACTCACTTCAGAAGCAGTACTTAGCTACACCTCAACTTAAAAAAAAATTTTATTTGTTTTATTATTTTATGTGTGTTTTGCCTCCTTGTATGCATGTGCACCTTGGGACTAGAGTTACAGATGGTTGTGAGCTGCCATGTGGGCACTGGGAATTCAACCCTGGAACTCTGCAACAAATGCTCTTAATCGCTGAGCCAACTCTCCAGTCCCTACATCTCAACTTTTTCCCTATCTGCAAAGATTGCTCCATGGGTACCATTTTCTGTGTGGGAATGGATGATCTGGCTTTTATTTGTGGTTGAGAGTTTTGGTTTTGTTTGTTTTTTCTTGACTAATGACAACAGCACTCACAGAGAATTTACTATGAGTAGGCACTGTTCAAAGTATACACATGTATTAATTTGTATAAAAGCCTACAAGACAAATATAATCATTATCCCTAGACGAGTAAAGACAAATTAAAATCCTGCTTAATATCCCTCGGCAGAGCTAGGATTCAACATCAACAGTTTCGAGATTTTTCTTACAGTTCACCTGAGCAGGTATTAATAATGGCTCCCATTTCCTGGGCCAGGTATGATGCTTAGGAACTTACACATATTTTAGCCGCTATTACTGTTCTACGTTACAGATGAAAAAACAGAAACTTGGGAGGACTGGATAATCGGCCCGGAGGCTACACAGCCAGCAACCACCAAGCCCGGGGTTGGCTAGGCCTCCTCTTCCCACCACGGCAGCAAAATACAAGCTTGAGAGTGTCACCAGCGTCTTTCCACATCTCGCCACGCAAGACTGTGTCAGAAATGGTGGGGCACGACGGCAAGGAAGCTCTGTGGATCTGCGTGGACCTGCCTGATGGTCTCATCCCTGAGTCCTTCCCCAGGTCAGATACTACTGGCCACCTTGGTGTCTACCCTGTACTTCTACCCTGTACTTCTGAGTCCTGGATTCCACAGAGGGTTTTGGTGGGCTGCCTTCGGCAGCAAGAGAGAAGCCAAGATCAAAATGGAGAGGACACAAAGATCCCTTGAACTGAACTGATTTCATTAGTTTTATACACTGAAGTTCCGTGTGGTGGTTGGGGAGGGGAAAGTGGGAAGCCCCAGTCTTCAGCAAGCTGGAAAACCACAGTCCCGGCTGAGGCACTGCACCAGGCCAGGGTCTGCTGGATTCAGGCTGGCACTGAGCACATGTGAGTAGTCAGTCATGACCCACTGGAGACAGAAAGCTGCTCCCAGAGGGCCCTCCTTGCCTCTGCAGCTCACTTGGTTCCCCGTAACTACGCTGGGCTGCAAAGAGACGAAGATCAGCTAACGGCACAGAAAACACGGACGTGACGCAGGGTTACCTGGCGCAGCAGCTGCCGTGGAAACTGTAGAAATACAGGAATGGAAAGTCCAGGGCCCTGAAGAGGTCACCTAAGGAGCACAGCAACGGTCATGCGATGGTCCACACAGCTCCCTCAGCTCCCTCCACCCAGCTACTTTAGGAGACATAAGACACAGTCTTCTGCACAATGCATTCAGCTCTCCAACTCTCAGGTCCCTAAGAATCTTCTGGCCTCCCACTGAGACTAAAGTAACGGCAGTGACCATTTAGCAAGAGCACGCTCTGTGCAAAGGCCTGTGTGAAACGTGGTGACTTTATCTCTTGCTCTTGTAGTGACTCTGAGAGGTTCTGTTACCCCACTCCAAGTGGAGCTCAGAGAAGGGACGTGTCTAAAGCTGTGGAACTGTTGAACTGTGGGGCCAGAACGTGCAGGCAGGTCAGGCAGGCCTTAGATCTTCCCGTCAGCAGCAGGCATCCCACACAAGGGAGAGAACAAGAGGAAAGTCTTTTTAAAGATTCTTTTCTTCTTTTTTTGGCTTCATGTTAAAAAAAGATCATGAGTGCATTTCCCTGACATCTCTCTTCATGTTAGTGTTTAATTACTGCACACACTGTACAAGGCCCAGAGCGACTGTGCACACTCACTTCAGTCTGAGGCCCAAGGGGACATTTATTTCTTGTAAAGTAAGTTCATTCTTTGAGTTCCACTTTTAGTACAAGAGGAAATAATCACACATACTGGCTGCTTCTCCTTGGACTTTGAACTTGGTCACAAACAAGAAGTCAGGAGATTAAAAAAGCAGAAAGCCTTCCAAAAACGTCTCCAGAAAAGGAATTAAGCATTTCCACAGTGGACAGCTTAATCCTTCCAAATCTGGTGTGTGTGACACTGAGGAGCCTGGCTCTCCGGTGGCCTGGGCTCTGGTCTAGTCTGTTCTGGGCAGCCTGGGGGACGGGCGGACAGTGTTCCCTGCTGAAGAGCTCTGTGGGGAGCTGGGAGTACTTCCTTCCTCCGCCACTCATACCGATGAGTCAAGTGTTTCACAGGCAGCTCAGGGGTAGAGTGTTTGCCTAGCACACTCAGGACCTGGGTTCCATCAGCAGGAACATGCACAAACATGCATGCATGCATGCACAAACACATTTCTGAACAAGATTCAGTGAGCTGCTACACTTCTGGGAAGCCCCCTAAGTGATTTCAAAGGATTCAGCTAAAAGTTCCAAATTCTGTCTCTCTGACAGTTTAGATGTTTTAAAGTTGAGATCGACCTCCACTTATGCCCATGTGTGTCTAGCCAAAAGAGTTTTAAGGGTTTGGTTTTCACGCAGCCCATCAGAGGTGACGGGTTCTTGTTGGGTTTGGTCACTATTGCACTGAACCTCTCTCCCTTCCAGTTGGAACCCATGTTAGTAACGGCTCAGCTCTCCAGCTGCCGCATCTGGGATTCTGCTCCTGCCTCCCACTAAGAATAAAGTAACGACAGTGACCATTTATCGAGTGCATGCTTTGTGCAAAGGCTTGTGTGAAATGTGGTGACTTTATCTCTTGCTCTGAGAGGTTCTGTTACCCCACTCCAAGTGGAGCTCAGAGAAGAGATGTGGCTACAGCTGTGGAACTGTTGGACTGTGGGGCCAGAACGCGCAGGCAGGTCAGGCAGGTCAGGCAGGTCAGGCAGGCCTTCGATCTTCCCTTCAGCAGCAGCCCACACAAGGGAGAGAATAAGAGGAAAAGAACCTGCCTTTATCCACCTGTTTTGGAACTTTAGTGTATAATGGACATGGCACATTCTGAGGTTCTTTTTTGCAGAGAACTGACAACCAAGATACCCTGGGACTGTGGACTGCAGAGCGGCTGAAGGCCCTGCTCAGGCATGCGGATGGGACATCGTGGAGAATTTGCTCTGCCTCTTCTGCAGCTGCTGGCTCCCGGCCTTTGCCCAATCTCCCAGTGTGGGAGGAACTGCAATGCAGTCTGGGAAGACCGAGGAATGGCGGAGAGGGTGATCAGTTAAATCCAGGGCCAAGGCCCCTCTGGATGTGCCTCCTCTTGACATCCCATCTTTCACCATAAATGTTCCAGCGGGGTAAGTCAGTGAGAGTACACAGGTAATATTTATAGTCTAGCCTGGGCTCTGGACGGGAGTCTAAATAACAAGAGGACGGTCAGGGCAGGTGAGGGGGAACAAGAGGACGGTCAGGGCAGATGAGGGGTAACAAGAGGACGGTCAGGGCAGATGAGGGGGTAACAAGAGGACGGTCAGGGCAGATGAGGGGGTAACAAGAGGACGGTCAGGGCAGATGAGGGGGTAACAAGAGGACGGTCAGGGCAGGTGAGGGGTAACACGAGGACGGTCAGGGCAGGTGAGGGGGGAACAAGAGGACGGTCAGGGCAGGTGAGGGGGTACCAAGAGGACGGTCAGGGCAGATGAGGGGGTAACAAGAGGACGGTCAGGGCAGGTGAGGGGGTAACAAGAGGACGGTCAGGGCAGGTGAGGGGGTAACAAGAGGACGGTCAGGGCAGGTGAGGGGGTAACAAGAGGACGGTCAGGGCAGGTGAGGGGGGAACAAGAGGACGGTCAGGGCAGATGAGGGGGTAACAAGAGGACGGTCAGGGCAGGTGAGGGGTAACACGAGGACGGTCAGGGCAGGTGAGGGGGGAACAAGAGGACGGTCAGGGCAGGTGAGGGGGACAGGACGGTCAGGGCAGGTGAGGGGGTAACAAGAGGACGGTCAGGGCAGGTGAGGGGGGACAGGACGGTCAGGGCAGGTGAGGGGGGAACAAGAGGACGGTCAGGGCAGGTGAGGGGGGAACAAGAGGACGGTCAGGGCAGGTGAGGGGTAACAAGAGACGGTCAGGGCAGGTGAGGGGTAACAAGAGGGTCACGGTGAGGGGGGTAACAGGGCAGGTGAGGGGGGAACAAGAGGACGGTCAGGGCAGGTGAGGGGTAACAAGAGACGGTCAGGGCAGGTGAGGGGTAACAAGAGACGGTCAGGGCAGGTGAGGGGGGAACAAGAGGACGGTCAGGGCAGGTGAGGGGGTAACAAGAGGACGGTCAGGGCAGATGAGGGGGTAACAAGAGGACGGTCAGGGCAGGTGAGGGGGGAACAAGAGGACGGTCAGGGCAGATGAGGGGGGTAACAAGAGGACGGTCAGGGCAGGTGAGGGGGACAGGACGGTCAGGGCAGATGAGGGGGTAACAAGAGGACGGTCAGGGCAGATGAGGGGGTAACAAGAGGACGGTCAGGGCAGGTGAGGGGGGAACAAGAGGACGGTCAGGGCAGGTGAGGGGGTAACAAGAGGACGGTCAGGGCAGGTGAGGGGGTAACAAGAGGACGGTCAGGGCAGATGAGGGGGTAACAAGAGGACGGTCAGGGCAGGTGAGGGGGTAACAAGAGGACGGTCAGGGCAGGTGAGGGGGTAACAAGAGGACGGTCAGGGCAGGTGAGGGGGGAACAAGAGGACGGTCAGGGCAGGTGAGGGGGGAACAAGAGGACGGTCAGGGCAGGTGAGGGGGTAACAAGAGGACGGTCAGGGCAGGTGAGGGGGTAACAAGAGGACGGTCAGGGTAGATGAGGGGGTAACAAGAGGACGGTCAGGGCAGATGAGGGGGTAACAAGAGACGGTCAGGGCAGGTGAGGGGGTAACAAGAGGACGGTCAGGGCAGATGAGGGGGTAACAAGAGGACGGTCAGGGCAGATGAGGGGGTAACAAGAGGACGGTCAGGGCAGATGAGGGGGTAACAAGAGGACGGTCAGGGCAGGTGAGGGGGTAACAAGAGGACGGTCAGGGTAGATGAGGGGGTAACAAGAGGACGGTCAGGGCAGGTGAGGGGGGAACAAGAGGACGGTCAGGGCAGGTGAGGGGGTAACAAGAGGACGGTCAGGGCAGATGAGGGGGTAACAAGAGGACGGTCAGGGCAGATGAGGGGGTAACACGAGGACGGTCAGGGCAGATGAGGGGGTAACAAGAGGACGGTCAGGGCAGATGAGGGGGTAACAAGAGGACGGTCAGGGCAGGTGAGGGGTAACAAGAGGACGGTCAGGGCAGGTGAGGGGGTAACAAGAGGACGGTCAGGGCAGATGAGGGGGTAACAAGAGGACGGTCAGGGCAGGTGAGGGGTAACACGAGGACGGTCAGGGCAGATGAGGGGGTAACAAGAGGACGGTCAGGGCAGATGAGGGGTAACACGAGGACGGTCAGGGCAGGTGAGGGGGTAACAAGAGGACGGTCAGGGCAGGTGAGGGGGGAACAAGAGGACGGTCAGGGCAGATGAGGGGGTAACAAGAGGACGGTCAGGGCAGGTGAGGGGGGAACAAGAGGACGGTCAGGGCAGGTGAGGGGGTAACAAGAGGACGGTCAGGGCAGGTGAGGGGGGAGGACGGTCAGGGCAGGTGAGGGGGGAACGGGACGGTCAGGGCAGGTGAGGGGGTAACAAGAGGACGGTCAGGGCAGGTGAGGGGGTAACAAGAGGACGGTCAACAAGAGGACGGTCAGGGCAGGTGAGGGGGGAACAGGGCAGGTGAGGGGGACAGGACGGTCAGGGCAGGTGAGGGGGTAACAAGAGGACGGTCAGGGCAGGTGAGGGGGTAACAAGAGGACGGTCAGGGCAGATGAGGGGGACAGGACGGTCAGGGCAGATGAGGGGGTAACAAGAGGACGGTCAGGGCAGATGAGGGGGTAACAAGAGGACGGTCAGGGCAGGTGAGGGGTAACACGAGGACGGTCAGGGCAGGTGAGGGGGTAACAAGAGGACGGTCAGGGCAGATGAGGGGGTAACAAGAGGACGGTCAGGGCAGGTGAGGGGGTAACAAGAGGACGGTCAGGGCAGATGAGGGGGTAACAAGAGGACGGTCAGGGCAGGTGAGGGGGTAACAAGAGGACGGTCAGGGCAGGTGAGGGGGGAACAAGAGGACGGTCAGGGCAGGTGAGGGGGGAACAAGAGGACGGTCAGGGCAGATGAGGGGGTAACAAGAGGACGGTCAGGGCAGGTGAGGGGGGAACAAGAGGACGGTCAGGGCAGGTGAGGGGTAACACGAGGACGGTCAGGGCAGGTGAGGGGGACAGGACGGTCAGGGCAGATGAGGGGGT